TTTAAATTTCAATAATTTTCTTTGTATTTCACCTTGTTAATTTTTTTAAAGGGACCATCAGATTGGTTAAATATAAATTAGTAAATTTATATTGTTTTTGAAATCCTCAAGCACAATAGATGATCTATCGGTGTCATTTTTTCAGGTCTTTCTCCCAGAGTCCCCTTTCCCCCTTTACAATCTGGATTAGCAGTACACTGAGGTTTCTGTATAGCTGTTGATTTGGAGTTTTCATCTCCATGACCCAAGACTGTCCATATCTGTTTTCCTATGTTGGATTCACTCTCTCTCTCTCTTTGTTGACACACTCCCTCTTTTTTGCTGAAGTACCTGCTCCAGTAGCTTCCTTAGAAAAAATAAATGAGAAGGAATTTTTTTAGTCACTGCCTGTTTTTATTCTCTCCTTACATTTGATTTGGCTTTTTTTTTCACCCTCAGAATTTTGGAGGCGTTTCTCCATTTACTCTTAAATCTTTAGTGTAGGTGTTAAGAAGTTCAATGTTATTTTGACTTTCATTTTTTTTTTTTTTTTTAGATTTTAGGATCGTCTCTTTATCCCTGTTTAAAAATTTTCTCAGAGGGCACCTAGGTAGCTCAGTTGGTTAAGTGTCCGACTTTGGCTCAGGTCATGATCTCATGGTTCACACGTTTGAGACCCCTGTCGGGCTCTGTGCTGGCAGACTGGAGCCTGCTTCAGATTCTGTGTCTCCCTTTCTCTCTGCCCCTCCCCGACTTACACTCTGTCTGTACTAAACATAATTTTTTTTTTTTAATATTTTTTCTCAGGGTGCCTGAGTGGCTAAGTTGGTTGAGATACCCCTCTTGATTTTGGCTTAGGTCATGATCCCCAGGTTGTGGGATCAAGCCCTGCATCAGGCTCCACGTGAAGCCTGCTTGAGATTCTGTCTCTCTTGCTTTGCACCTCTCCCCCATGCATTTTCTCTCTTAAAAAAAACAAAACAAAACAAAACAAAAAAATCTATGCAAATACTGTCAGTCAATCTCTATTTATTGTACTGGGCCCTTGTGAAACATGTGTCCAATAGGTCTGGAAAATTTTTCTGGTTTGTTTTGTTATAACCCTACATTCTCTCTGAGCTCTTTTTCTGTGACTCTTATTCATTGGATATTAGACCTATTAATCCCAATTTAAAGATTTTATTTGGAGAAATGGTGTGTGGAAGTAAGCAGGAAAGATGTCAGGAAAGGCTGAGTGAGCTAATCCGACGCAGCTAAAGAAGAGTGTAAAAGAAGTTTGGACAGAAGTGTCCTAGGCACTCTTGAAACCTACAGCTTGACAAAGCCACCAGGGAATCCTTTAGTCAAAGACTGCTGACAAAGGAATCCTGCATCTTAAGAATGGGTTGGCTTTATTATTCCTGCTGCACTCCAACATTGGTGATAACCTAAACCCAAGCACGGACTCTGTGCGTGCGGTGAAGGATTTCAAAGCTGTGCACTAGGGCCCTGGTCAATTACCTTCTGGGAAGGTCTGAGGTGCCAAATTTATGGCCGCTAACTTAAAGCAGGTTCTATTAATTCTGTGATGTTGAATGCGTTAGTCTATGTACTGTGCCTAAAACAGTGTCAGACACATCTCAAACACTATTGTTACCGAGTGACAAGGAGATGCTTACAAGGGTGTGTGATTAGTCAAAGGAATTGTTATAAACTTTACAGTCTAAACTTTAGGATCTATTTCCACTTTAAGCACTATTCCAGTATGTTTAGTGAACTTGAGTACAAGCCAAAGCCAGGTGAGAAATGGCAGAGTAAAAAGATTGGAAGCTCATTATTATTAGAACAATCAGAAAGCTGGGAAAGGTGTGTTTGACAGCAGGGAAAGAGAAAAACAATAAAAAGCAAAAATGACAAAAGCACATTATTTTCAGGATTTGTAACAACAGGAAACTTAGCCCCAGCAACTTCAATAGGCATGGCTGCTTCGTGGTATTCCAAAAACGTAACAACCAATGCTCATAACAATGACTCTGATATCAAAAAAGGTTTTACCGGTACTTTGAGGAGGCAGGAAAGTATGAAATGCACTCTGGAATGATTTCCATCCAGAATAGCTAACACTGCAGCGGAGCTCCAAGAAAGAGCAAATCCTCCACGGTGCTGGGCAGCTGATAGTTTTATTGATCTAATTAAATATATGGCTTTTTTGTTTTCCTGTGCATTAATTGCATATCATTTCTTACTGTCACTTGATAAAGAACCATCCTTACTCTTCTCATTTTACAACCTGATTTTATATCAAGATCCCCACACCTTGTGTGGCATTAGTCATCACTGCCTAGATTTGCTTGCTTCCTAAGCAAACATAAAATCTCGATGATAAATCATGAATACCAGCAGACCTTCCAAGTCATTTAAATGAAGCTCCTGAGATGGGCTTGGCCGTCCCACGACTGGCCCCGAGAGGACACTCCAATGGCACACACGCCCAGATTGCTTATCTGAACACTGTCTGCCCCAGCTGCCTCGGCAGCAGGCTTCGTTTTGACAACACTTCTGGTTTCTGCCCAGCGCTCCTTGTCACATGTTCCTGTTCTTGCATGTGAACCGCTGACATGCAGTGCTTCCACAAACATTGGGTTAACAACAAAATCTCTGGCATGGGATATGTCACCAGTTACTTTGAAGAATAACTAAAAAGAAAAAAACCCTGCTAATAGCTCATCTTCTAACCTCTCGGGAGTTCTGTCAGAGTCTGAGAAGCTGCAATCTAGAGTAAAAGACTTCCACTGTGAAATGGGTTGCTTACAGCAGGCAACAGGCACAGTGGGACAGCAGCAGCCACACAAAGAGCGAAACATACAACGGCAGAGAGAAAGGCAGCGAAGGCTGCGAGACTCATACGTAGGCAGAGACAGAGAGACAACATGCCAACACGCACACTGTGCCCTGTCCTAGTCACTTCAGGCTCTTATAACAAAAATACCATAGACTGGGTGGCTTAAAACACTCGGAAATTTATTTCTCACAGTTCTTTAAGTGAGGGAATTCAAGATCAAGGCTCAAGCAGAGTCTGTGTCTGGTGAGAGCCCACCTACTGGTTCATCGACAATCAGCCTTCTCACTGTGTCCTCACATGAAGGAGGAAACCCTCTGGGGTCTGTCTCTTTGTAATCCCACTAATCCCAATCATGAAGGCTCTGCCCTCATGACCTAATTACCTCCCAAAGACCCCACCTCCAAATACTATAATGTGGGTGGGGAGTGGTTTAGATTTCACCATAATTTAAGTTTGTGACAGATAAAAAAGGAAACCTCATTTAGAATGGAGTCGGGAGGCTAGCAGGGGGAGCTCACACACCCTACCACTCCTTGTCAATTGCTGACCCAACTGGAAGAGACTGCATCTTGCTTGCTTGCTGATTCTACTTCTTTACCACCCCAGCAGGAGGAAAAAGGGCCCCACCCCTTGACCCTGGCAACAACCCAGCCAATGAGATATTGTCACAAACAACTGAGACAATAAAAAGCCACTATACCTCAAACTCCCAGTTTACTCCAACCGACTTTTTGTTTATAAAAGCCTTCCTGATTTCACCCTTTGCTCTGTACTAGAGCGTTCCTCTCCTTTGCTCTGCATACTTGCCTATGGCTTTGCCATAGCCTGCTTATCCAAAATTGCAATTTTCTATTTCCAATTAATCCCATATTTGCTGTTAAAGTAATAAGCGGTTTTAAGGTTGGGGGAGCACAAAAATTCAGCTCATAGCATATCTAGAACATGTTTCAACGTCAAGAACAAAAGCAGAATCTGCCTCATTTTCCCACTGATTTGTAAACTCCTTGGGGGCAGAACAGTTTGTTTGCATCCACACTAAGTCAAATTTATGAGGAGGAAAACACCGTCATACTAAGCAAGCAGTGTTTCACTCACACTTGATGACAAAGAAGATGTCCTAAAAGACAATGTCCTGAAAGAAATCTGCTCCCAACATTATTACAAGAATTAAAATAGCTGTTAATTTTGCACACGTTCAGTTTTCCCTAGTTCTTGGCTGGTACCTCCTTTTAAGTTATCTATTGTTTTGGTTTGTTTGTTTTTATTTGGAAAAGGGCTCAAAGGGCTGTTCTAGATTCCATACATCCCAAAGGACAGTCAATTGTTTTAATTACCACTTCTGCCTCATCTATTCTCACACACAGCCTTCTAAAGTCATCTATTTTTCAGTGAGTGGTATTTCCCCTTTCCCTTTTATTCTAGATGGCATCAGCCCATTTTGAAATATACAGGTAAAAAACAACTGAAATGCACAAGGAAAAGTAGGCAGGAAGAATTCTGGCCTGGTTGGTCAGATTGTTACTTTTTTGTCTTATTTTTTTCTGTTCCCCATTTTTTTTTCTCCTCATCTTTGTATTTTTTCAGGACTTGAAAATTAAATATGCTGCAACTCCTTAGGAGTGAGTAAATTCAAGACAATAGTTCAGTGACAATCTTTAGAAACTAAAATTTATCTGAATTTAAAACTGTAAATTGTTTTGTTTTTCCTCCAACTAAATTGGTCAGATATGAAAAACTATTCCAGCATTCCAACTTCTGAGTACAAACAACATGTTGGCAAATTTGTATTGATTTTACCTGCCAATCTAGATGCAATCACACTTTTTAAAGCAGATTCCTGTAATTTGCTTTTCTATAAAATGTCACCAACGCATTAAATACTTTGAAAACAGTCTTTGTAAATCAATCTGCACTTATTAGATTTGTTTAAACGATAGCATTAGAATTCCACGCCGAGATTTAATTTGGTTTTAAAATAACTCGCTACATGCAGAACATTTCCAAGGGTGGAGAGGCTAGTTCCCAATTACTTTCATGCCGTCAGTGCTAAATGTGTTTAATGACTCACTTACCTACAAGCTGTGGGTTCTCTGAAGACCTCCCTGTTCAGTGAGATGCACACGTTTTACCTCAGGCTATTTCATATTTTTACAGAGGGGAAAATGCAGAACCATTGCCAAATAAAAAGTAAAGGACTTACCTTGTTCATGTCAAAGGTATTATAGACTTGATCAACATGTTGACTGGCTTTTTGATTCAGACCTTGCAGACCCAAGAGTGTCTTGAATTCATGCAGTGTTTGCAGGCCGGATGGATATTCCCTCATAAATTTTTTGTACCACACATAGGTCTCTTTAGCAGGAACTGCTTTCTGACCACCAGCTATGGATTCATTATTTCCCATTGTGATTCACGGTCTGCAGCTTTTTCTCAGGTTGTTTTCACGTATGGTCTCTCCCAATTTAGTTCCTCACTTGTTCACTAGAACTGGAGGCTAACATATGCCTTTAGAAAGCTAGTCTAACCCTCTTACAGCTATAGGCTAAATAAGAATAGAAAGCCAGTGAGATTAACTCATCTGTACAGTTTTAAGACTAGGTCATTTATCGCTAACTGATGGGATTGTGCTGCCATTCAGTTTTCTGTGAAGGGCAGAGGCATTGTCCTTGCCATATTGTTAACCATCAATTATGCCTACATTGAGGAGGGGGGTCTACTGGAAGGAACTCTGAGTTGCATTCAGGAAGCCTGGGACTGAAACATTACTTAGTTTCTACAGTCTCACTGTTCCCATCTGTAAAACAGTAACAAGGATATTTGCTTTTTCATACCTAAATATTGTGAAAATAGATTTAGATGTAAAAACTATTAAAACCGTGGAAAAATTATACATTGAGTATTGCTAAATTTAAAGGAAGTCTCTGCAGAGAAGCGGGAAATGGGTAGAGATAACCATATTATCAGCAGTAAAAATGTTGTTGATGTGATAGGCAGTCTGCAAAGGGACATGGTGAGCTGTCCTTGGCATTGCTTTTCTCTTCTTTACTTTGAGACAGCGTGTATGCAGGCATGCTCACAGGGAGGGGCAAAGAGAGAGGGAGAGAGAGAATCCCAAGTAGGCTCCACGCTGGCAGCACAGAGTCCCATGCAGGGCTCTATCTCATGGACCGTGAGATCATGACCTGAGCCGAAATCAAGAGTCGGATGCTCAACAGACTAAGCCACCCAGGCACCTCATCTTTTTCTTTTTTTTTTCTGTTTCTGTATTTTCTGTCTTTCAAATCCACTTCTACCCAGGCCCTCTGCCTGCTAACTTTGTCCCACTCCAGTTCCCAAGCTAATCTTGTCTGAGTCAAGCCCCAGTTGCACAGGAATTGAAAACTGAGCAAATGAGCATAAGAACCGTATCCATGGTCCAGTAATGGAAAGGAAGTGACCTGTGTGATGTGGCAAGCAAGCCATCTTGCTGCCAACCATACGTAGGAGTAACAGAATTACACTCTTTCCACCTAGGGTCATTTGGTCCCAAGCATGGTTATCCCCTCCTAACCTCACTCCATTTTTCCCCCAATTCTCATATTGACTCAGTTCCTAAGTCCGGTTTCTCTCTTAAGTTACTATTCCTTAGTCCTAACTTATTACCTATTCAAAACCCCAGGTTCCCCAAGAACTGGAGCCTTTGGGGCCTTGACAGGAAATGGGGGTGGCTAGGGTATATATGATTAATTTTGTTTCACCCATACCAAGGTAGACTTTAAGTAGAAAAAAATTTGAACCCATAATTACAGTTAAATAACATGTGTTCAGTAAGGTTATCGAAATTTGGAACACCTTCACTTATAAGTATTACTTGAAACCATTAGAGTAGGTGAGATTTCTTAGGCAGAGTAAAAAGAAAGAAGATGAGATAATAGGACTAGGTCCTGGTAGGAAATAGGAGGAGGGTCCTGCTACAATCTTCCAAGCCAGTCTCTGGGGAAGTCCCTGTGCAGTCTCCAATGGTTTGCCAGGATGCTCAGAGGCATTGACTTCTTATCACCATTAACAGTTATTAATCACCAATTTTTAGTTAAAAAAAAAAAAAGAATGGCTACCGATGATGCAAGAGGAAGGTAATGAAAGTTTTCAAGGGGCCAAGAAAATCCCCTGTGGAAGGAAAATTTTGGATAAATCAAGAATACAAGGACCTGAGACCTGGAAACTGTGTTTCTTCATGTAAATTATGCTTTTCAAAAAATCTGCATAATGATTACTTGCTGATACAGAAAAAAAGTTTAAAACTATTACAAATAGTATAAGAATTCTTATATTGGATACAATATTGATATCCCAAACTCAGGAATCCTGCTACATAAAACATTAACTAGTTATAAGATAATGGGGAAAAGTCTTCATTTATAAAAGGTCAAAGAATAAATCTAAATTACAATAAATTTAACTAGAATGTGCTGGACATATTTGAAGAAAAATTTTAAATGCTAATACAGGGTACCAATAAAGACTTGAACATACAAAAAGGCATATTTTGGTTTGGGGTAGAAAGACTTGATATTTGAAAAAGGCAATTCTACCTTAATCTATCATACCACCATACGCCAAACAAAATGCAAATAAAGTTTGAGGGGAGGGGTGGGTGTTGACTAAAAAAGCTAATTCTAAGTCTGGATAAGATTAAACATGCAAAGATACAAAAGAAAATTCTCAAATATAAAATTATTGACTATCCCTACCAAAACAACTTGGGTCCAATGTGAGAAAAGATGGAACAATCAATGAAAAATAACAGACATTTTTTACAGAACTCGGCCCAAATACAAATAGGAATTTGACATGCAGTAAACGTGGCAGTGCAGATCAATGGGGAAGAGACTGATTTTTCAATTAACAGTTTGAGGACAATACCGTATCTATCTGGAAACACACACAGTTGGATTTTTAACTTACTCCTTTCACCAAAATAAATTCTAGATAAATCAAATATTTAATAATATAATGACTAAAACCACTATAACAAGGAAAAATTTCTTTCTACTTTCAGCATTTGAATGTCTTCTCTAAATAGGACTACAAAACCAGAGGGCTGGGGGGCTCTGTCAGTTGAGAGTCTGACTCTCGATTTCGGGTCAGGTCATGATCTCGCAGTTCACGGGTATGAGGCCCATGTCAAACAGGGAGAACAGCAAGGAGCCTGCTTGGGATTCTCTCTCTCTCTCTCTCTCTCTCTCTGCCCCTCTCCCACTCACACTCTCTCCCTCTCTCTCTCTCTCTCTCTCTGCCCCTCTCCCACTCACACTCTCTCCCTCTTCTCTCTCTCTCTCAAAAAAATAAATAAACTTAAAAAAAAAAAAAAAGAAAGACAAGGATGGAGCGAAGACCTTCCACCATATTCCATCTCACATGGTCTGAATTTTGCATTATGTGTATGTACATAAAATTAAAATTACACAGTTCCACAAATATTAAATGTTTTATTGCTTTTGTCCAAAGTTGTAGACATATCTAAATTTAAAAAAGTAATCAGTTATCAAGGAAAATGTAAAAACACAATTTACACATGTATAATATATGCTCACATTATAGTTAGAAGATTTGCACTTTTACTCCAACTCAACAACAGAATTATCATATAAACAATATATTAAAGTTTCTGAGGATTTATATTTTCTGCATTACTGAGTAATGGCTGTAGTGGAGAAAGGGCATGTGGTCTTTCCTTTTCAACACAAGTTTTAAGTTTAACTGTAGTCCTTTGTACACTGATTTTGAAAACCACTGTTTTCTAGTTTTTGTAGTCATTTAAGTGAAACAAAATGTTTAAAACAAAACAAAAACAAAGTCATTTAAGTGAAAACAAAATTTAGCCTAACTGACATTTCCATCTTTCTTACTAGCTCACATGGGAATGGGAGAACTCTACAAATAGCTTCTGAAATAACAGGAAGAGTTAGGGAACAGGGCTGCAAATATGTAAATTGTAAATCAGTCTCCATTTCTAAAGCACACAATTTTCTTACAGTTAAACAGGGCAAACCATACAATAATGAGTACAAAGGGAAATACTGTTTGAAAAGAATCTTCCTTTTTTCTTACTGGCATTTTTTAAAAGGGCATATCTTTTCTCACATTTAATTTTGAGAAGTACTTTCAGTGTTTTTCTAAAGGGAGACTGTGTCCTGTATCTGTAGTCACTTTATTCAAAGCGTTCTGAAAAAGGGGATTATCTTCTTTAAGCAAAGCTTCTAAATAGCTGTCAATCTGCTCCAGGTCTCCTGCTGGACCGCCCTGGAAAAGAGAATCAACAATCATGGCAGGCGAAGACGCTACAGGGATTATGCTTGTAATCTGGGTGGCCTCTGAGCAGCCTTCCCTGCGATTCATGTAGCAAGAAACCCACATCACACTGGAATAATGCTTTTAATCTCTTAAAATGTTTTTGCATTTCATCTCATTTTATGCGCACAAGTGGTTAGGAACTTGAATCATTTTTTTCTTCTTTAGTGGAGGTAAGTTCAACCGGCTTTCCTTCTATTCAATTACTTGTCATATTCCTAAAGCCACCCTGCTTCCACCTTATCTTCCTCTGTTATAGGATCTCATCTCCCATTTTAAAAGTTCATGAATCTGGGGCCCCTGGGTGGCGCAGTCGGTTAGTCGTCCGACTTCAGCCAGGTCACGATCTCACAGTCCGTGAGTTCGAGCCCCGCGTCAGGCTCCGGGCTGATGGCTCGGAGCCTGGAGCCTGTTTCCCATTCTGTGTCTCCCTCTCTCTCTGCCCCTCCCCCGTTCATGCTCTGTCTCTGTCTGTCCCATAAATAAATAAAAACGTGGAAAAAAAAATTAAAAAAAAAAAGTTCATGAATCTGAACAGATGAGTAGGTGAATTCTGACTTCTCTGTCGCTCCTTTTCCCCTCCACCATCCTTCCCCCCAGCCCCTGGCTTGTGCCCTCATGGGTCTCCTTTCTGTTCTTCCCCCACTTCTCTGTCTGGGTAATTTCACACTCTCCTTCCCTGGGCTGCTTAATCCATGAACAGCCCGACAAATGCTGCCTCTGTACTGACTTAAATCTCCCTCCGTCAAGAGCACCCATGGGTTCAACCTGCTCTCCAGCTGAGCTGGTTGGATAAGAGAATTCTTAGAAAGGACCTTTCAGAGACATTTCCAGTTTTATGACTGTTCCCAGTGAGTGTGTGGCACCACCATCCCAGCTTCTCCATCCGTCACCTGGTTCTATTAACCTGCTTGTGCATGGTTCCCTCTGCCTTAGGCCTCTGAAGAGTACTGAGGCCCAGCTTTGTGACTGGGGTCCTGTCCCTACAGACAAGCATACATGATATTCATGTTCCCCTAGATTTTCAGATATTCACTGGCCCTGAGGGATGCCCTGTGTCACCCTTCTGACACTGACGGCCCTCAGTCCATCTAATCCTTTGCTCTCTGCCTGGCAAAGCATACTTCCTTCTAGGACTTCACGTTGGTTCTGTCCCCAGCCTCTTCAAGTACCTGCTCTGTCCATCCACTTTGGATGGATGTCCACCTATCTTCTCTCTTGTCTTCGCTCTGTGCCAGTGAGGTGGCTCTGGCATTCAGAGGCCGTGAAAATAGAAATTTCAAGTC